ATCCATAGCTTGGTTCTCGGCTGCAGTGGCCTTACAGAACTGAGCTATAGATTGAATCCATAGTTTGGTTCTCGGCTGCACTGGCCTTACAGAATTGAGCTATGGATTGAATCCATAGCTCGGTTCTCGGCTGCAGTGGCCTTACAGAAGGGAGCTATTGATTGAATCCATAGCTTGGGTCTCGGCTGCAGTGGCCTTACAGAATTGAGCTATGGATTCAATCCATAGCTTGGTTCTCGGCTGCAGTGGCCTTACAGAACTGAGCTATAGATTGAATCCATAGCTCGGTTCTCGGCTGCAGTGGCCTTCCGGAAAGGCCTGTAATTGAGAAAGCAGGCCTGGCTGCAGAAGACACCTCAGAAGAAGTGGGCCTGCAAGGGGAGGCCTGGCTGCCAGGTAAGTGGGTGCGGGGCGCGTGGGGCAGCTCCACACCCCCACCCCTACCCTAGCTTGATTTTTAGGTTTGTACCTTGCCCCAAAACTAGGGCTTCTTTTGGGGGTAGGGCTTATATTAGGCCCACCCCCCAAAAAATCAAGCTAGGGCTTATTTTAGGGGTAGGCCTTACTTTCGGGGAAAACACAGTAGTATTTAATAAGGTGACCAACTTTTTTACAATGAGAAAGGAGGGCACAAATAAATTGAAGAAAAAAATATCGTAAATAAAACATTTTATTCATTGCAACAATACAGAATACACTGTAATATGACAAATGCATAATAAAAAACATTTGTAACAATAACATTTTATATTGTAATTATGCTTACATGCCTATCAGTTATTATTTAAATGAGTACAAAAGAAGGACTGTCCTCCCTAAAGGAGGACGATTGGTCACCTTATATTTAATAAATGAGTGTTATTATATAGAACGAGAGTACATATTTTCAGTTCATTAGGAGGTTTTTTACTGGGGTTTTGAGAGTAAAGTGAATTTTTTAAGTTTTGTGTTGTTATTTTATCATTGCCTTTTGCTTCCCATGGAAGTCCAGTTGTTTCATTGATTAATACGTTATAGATATTCTGATGTTTTCACCAGCTGAGGAAAGAAAGAGCATTTATCTAAATACATTAGCTTTTGGGGGTAGATAGATGTCAGTTCTGCTGCTTGTATATATAGCCATGCCTATGGTGACAGCTTCTATTGTGTTTTTCCTTTGTGAGTTCAGCTTTTATTGTCCACGAAGCCAAACTGAAGCTGGATGTTAACTGCACTCAGCATTCGGCTAATGCTAAATTAGAATGCTTTCTACTCTTACAAATTGAAAATTGCTTTATAGAGCTGCTGTGGGTGGCATGGACATTGGCGGTTAGCTAGCATTTTATTTCTCAGTAGTTCCTCTCAGCCTCACCAAACACACCGCTACTTCAAATGAAAGGTTCCGGCTTTCTTTAAAAACAACAAGAAGAAGGAGTAGTTTTATTTCCTCCCTGGTTGTAATTTCATGTCTTCCCTCCTCCTCACCCGCACTCTCTCGGTGGATCCTTTTTTAGGTGACTCACTTTCACAACTCTTCCTCCCTCTTTTTTTATTTTTATCATTGTGGGGAATGTTACATACTCAACCGTAGTTGTAATTCGGAGTCCTCTGTTCCTCTTTTAAAATATAGAACAGCCTGAAGCTACTGTGGTTTTAAGTCAAAAGAAGGTGGCGGTACGTTTTCCTGGAGATAAAATAGGTAAATTTTGCTGCCACTTCTTTGTTTTGTTTGTTTAGCACCCTCCTGTCAAAAATACTGCTGCTTTTTCAAGCAGATGCTCTTAGTCTGTGTTTAATCTCTCCACCTTTGAAACAGACTCCTTTTTTAAAAAAAAATGAGATTTGTTATTTGTTAACCCTGTAACCTTTATTCCTGCAGAGCTGATGGAGTTTGCAGACGATCCATCCAGCGTTCCAGAAAGCAATAAGAAATCTACCAATTCACAAGGCGATAAGTCTAAAGAAAATACACGGAAAATATTTAGCGGACCAAAGAGGGTAAGTGGGAACGTTAAAAAACCAACTTCATCAATTAGTTGCCTCTTCGGACGCGGTTTTTCAGACAGAGTTGAGCCTTTTTAACCATGATATACTATAAAAAAGACAATAATAACCACGAAAAACTCCACCTGCAGTTCATGGTGGGTCGCAAATGTCCTTACTTGAAAATGGTAATTGGGACGGGAATTCTATCACTAAGCAATGTGGTCATAAAGCATGGCGTTTTGGTGATCTGTGCTGCTTAGGGCCGATAGTCCTGGCAGTTCCCAGTTTCTGTTGTTAAGTGAGGACTTCACATGAGTATGACTTCTGACTTCCTGCCAGCTCTCCCACTGACTTGGTTTGTGGGAAGCTGGCCAAGAAGGTCACAAATCAAATGACATAACCGTGGGATGCTGTGATGGTGGCAACCAGGGCCGGTTCACATGACATGCTAGGTCAGGGGTGGGGACCCTTGGCTCTTTTATGACTTGTGGACTTCAACTCCCAGAATTCATAAAAGAGCCAAGGGTCCCCCCCCCCTGTGCTAGGTGTTTGGAAGTTTTGTTTAATCTGTGCAATATTGTATAATTTCTTAACAATTGGAGAACTATAAAGCATATTTAATTAATACAAGGGCTTGAATGCTAAATGATTTTGTGGTTCTCATATACTGTGTCACCGCTTGTTACATTAATTTAAAGGTATAAAATATGTGGGACTTTTTAAAATTGTTTTCAACATTTACTCTTTCGGAATAATTTTGAAAAATTCTCTCTTAATACCTTTTTCATTAAAAATCTACAAGACCAGTGACGTATTCTCAGAATTTGAAGCAATGAAATGGGATTTCCGTTCTGACGTGGGAGGATTATCTTTACAACTCAAAGTTAAAATATAGAAAATAGTTTAAGGGAATATTTCTTAGCATTCCCTTATTAAGAGGGAATATTTTGAGAAAAGAAACTGGTTATTAAAATCTCCTATTAACTGCTACCGTTAACGTGCGGTATTTCTGAAGAACGAACTGGGTTTCTTTCAGACATTAATGTTCCGTTTTGATTTTCAGTCACCAACAAAAGCTGTGTACAATGCTAGACATTGGAACCAGCCAGAATCTGAGGCTCTTCCAGCATCACAAGTGCTGAAAAATCCCAACGTTCCAGTGAGTATGACATTTTTATACCGCCTTTCTTAAAAATCCAAAGGTTTAAAGTCACGCGCATTCACCAGCAGAAAGAAATATTCTGAACAACGGTTGCCAATTCTAGTGGTTAAGTTCTGGAACCGAATTTCTGACATCACAACGCTCACTTAAAAATGGTCAGACTTGTGCCATGCAAAAGAGAGGGATAATGGAATCCGGAAGGCGCACGGAGCAGGAAATGTGCTTTGATTCAAATTTGGAATGAAACAAACCCACTCATAATGTTCTTGATTGGCTTGGGTTGCATTGGAACAGAATTCTCAATAGAACAGCAGGAAAAGGTTAGCCAAAGCCAAAGGAATAAGGGGGTGGTAATCCATGTTGAATACTACCCTCTCCCTAAATTGCAGAAAATTTGGGCACTTTTTTTAAAAAAAAGTGAAGACAAAGTAATTCCTATAGGAAACAAACGAAAAGACTTCTTCTCTTTGGTAAATGAGCATTTGTTACTCTTAAAAAAGTCCCTTCCCCACAGAAAATGTAAAAGCCTTTTCAGTTTTTTTTTTTAACATGGTCTCTTGGAATAAAGAGAGTAGCTAAACTCTTTCCTTCCAGTTATAACATGCATTTCAAGTATATCTCCTTTTTTGAGATTTTCTTTCTTTTTTATATAAATGTTTTATTAAGTTTTATAAGGGATGGGAAGGGGTAAGATCAGTATGGATATTGGATGGGGTTAGGGAATGGAGTTGGGATGAGGGTAGGGATAGGTACAGTAGTGGGGTTACCCCCAACAAAAATTCAATGCTTTAGCAAGCAGACTATCGTCCGGTTACAAATATTAAATGACAGTAATTAATATAATACTAAACAGTTATAATCACTGATAATAGCAATAGTCATAAAAGTAAAGCTTAGTCAATCAATACCATTCATCCTGTTAAATTTCATCATCTTTTCTCGCTCTATCGTGTTGCTAACCATTGATAAAATTTTTTCCCATGTTTTGAAATAAACTAAATCTTCTTTCTCTTTAATCTCTAAAGTTAATCTATCCATTTCTGCACATTCTAGAATTTTTGTGATTATAATCTGGTCCGGTGGTAAATGTTCATTTTTCCAAAATTGGGCAAATACTATTCTTGCGGCTGTCAGTACATGTAATATTAAATATTCATTCTCTTTACCATAATTAAGTCCTAATATTCCTAACAAAAACAGTTCTGGCTTAAATTCTATCTGTATTTTAGTCATCTTTTTCCAGCCATATATGAATCTTAAACCAAAATTTCTTTGCATTAGGACATATCCACCAGATATGATAGTATGATTTTCTTAAATGTGTTTTTTCCCAGACCAATTTGTGCCCGTCCAAATTGGAAAATCATAACTATGTGAAGCAAATCAATATACATCCCTTTTGTAATGCCTGTCAGCAAGAAAAAAAATTCTGCTCATCGCCCATCCGTCCAAGTAATTGATTTAAATTATTCCTGAGTTCTCTCGCAGTTTCAAATAGAATATTCGACCGCCGGTTTTTGAAGAATTCTTCCGTAGTGTAAAATATTTATGACCTCTGATGTCAAAACCCAATCTTAAATGTGTTTGTCCCAGAAATGAATCACCTTTTTATTATATATTGACCAAAGCATTTTCTAAGACTCTGTTAGAGATAAATAAAAATGAAGCTTTCCAATGAAGCTGAGAATAGATAGCATTCTATTAAATTTTCATTCTACATAAATGTGCCAAAGATGAGCCCAGTAATATTTTGGAAAATCTGGGTAAATAAAACCAACATCTTCAAAATGAAATCCTTGGTGGCCTCTTTTCCTATATAACATTCTTCAATAAATTGTCTAACCAAAGCAAATACATACTCAGGATTAACACTGGAATATCTCTTAAAGCAGGATTTCCCAACCTTGGCAATTTTAAGATGCGTGGGCTTCAGCTCTCAGAATTCCCCCAAGCTTAGCATAAAATTGCTAAGATTGGGAAACCTTATCTTAAAGCATAAATAAATTGTGGAATAAATGCTGGAATAAAACATTAATTTTACCCCCTCAATTTAAGAGAAGCGGAAGGCCAAAAATAAGAATTTAAGTGCAAAAATAGTATAATTTCTTTTTGAAAGATTGGCAGTGCAGGTTTCCTAGAAAGTTTGGAACTATGAGGCTGGGACTTCCTTCTGAGTTGAGATATATATAGAATGGTGAATTTGAGACATAAATGACTTTTTACTTTAGAATAGAATAGAATAGAATAGAATAGAATAGAATAGAATAGAATAGAATAGAAAGGGACCTTAGAGGTCTTCTAGTCCTGCTCAAGCAGGAGAACCTATACCATCTCAGACAAGTGACTGTCTAGCCTCTTATTAAAAATCTCCAGTGATGGAGCGCCCACGACTTCTAAAGGCAAGCTGTTCCACTGATTAATTGTCCTCACTGTCAGGAAGTTTCTCCTTAATTCCAGGTTGCTTCTCTCTTTGATCAGTTTCCAACCATTGTTTCTTGTCCTGCCTTCTGGTGCTTTGGAGAATAGTTTGACCCCCTCTTCTTAGTGGCAGCCTCTCAAATACTGGAACACTGCTATCCTGTCTCCCCTATTTCTTCTTTTTCTTTAGACTAGCCAAACCCAAGTCCTACAGCCGTTCTTGTTATGTTCTAGTCTCCAAGCCTTGGATCATCTGAGTTGCTCTTCTCTGAACTTTTTCCAAGGTTTCAACATCTTTTTTGTAATGTGGTGACCAAAACTGGATGCAATATTTCAAGTGTGGCCTTACTAAGGCTTTATAAAGTGCTAAACCCCTGTTTACCTGTCTAATATTGGCTTCCTCTTTTAATCAACCCTCCATGTTTTTCTTCTACCGTATGCCTTCTGCCTTCCTGCCAACCTCAGAATAAAAAAATACAATTCAGGAGAAGAAGACAGAATCGCTGCACAACACTTTCAGGAGTAGGATTTATTATTATTATTATTATTATTATTATTATTATTATTATTATTATTATTATTATTATTATTATTATTATTATTATTATTATTATTATTCTATTTGAATGGGAAGAAATGTACATTTGTTTCAGTTGCTCACTAGAACCTTTCAGAATAAACAGTTCAAAAGTGTAACACTATCTCCTTTATGCTGCACTGACATCTTTGAAGGGTTGGTCTTACGTCTTCTAAAGCAGCGGTTCTCAACCTATGGGTCGCGACCCCATTTGGGATCGATCGACCATTTCACGGGGGTTGCCAAGCAAGGCTGTCCGCCATTTTTTTCCCCTTTTCCGGTGGGTGCCTTACCTCCCTTGGGCTGAGCCAGCTGGTGGTCGGCCTGCTCCGTCTCTGCCGCTTGCCAGCTATGCCTCGGCCGGTGCAGGGGGCGGAACCACGCATGCGCGGCGCTCCCGGGCAGGGAAAGTCCTCGACTTAGGACCGGTTGGGTAGTCCTCGACTTAGGACCGGTTGGGTAGTCCTCGACTTACGGCCGGTTTAGTCCTCGACTTACGACCGGTTGGGGGGTCGTGGCATTAAAAAGGTTGAGAACCACTGTTCTAAAGTCTTGTGGAAAAGGGAAACATTTCCCATCTTGTACTTGAACATCCCTGTTTGTAATTAACAGGCCAGGTCTTCAAAAGAGGCAGCTCCGAAGGACGATGGGGTATTCAAGGCTCCAGCGCCACCTCCCAAAGTGATAAAAACTGTGACTCTACCAACTCAGCCCTATCAGGAGATAGTAACTGCCTTGAAATGTAGGAAAGAAGACAAAGAAGTAAGTGGAACAACTCACATTCTGTTTTTCCACAATACAGTTTTTTTTAAGGTAAACATCTGAGGCATACTGTATATTCCATCGAGAAGCTGAGAAATCTCATATTGTTTGCTTGTTTTCCAGTTATACACTGTCGTACAACATGTGAAACACTTCAATGATGTGGTAGAATTTGGGGAAAACCAAGAGTTCACGGACGATATTGAGTATTTATTAAGTGGACTGAAGAGCAATCAGCCCCTAAACACCCGTTGCCTTAGGTAAGATATATAAGATATATATATATTTGGATAGTTTCTTCCTTAACCTCCATAGATGGTTATGTCGTGATACGGTGGCGTCAGGAGGTGAGAACAGGAAGGAAGCTGTTTATTAATTGAAACTGGCAACTTGGAGACTGTGAGAAGTTTTACATTGCCGCTGTTGTGCAAAAGTCTTACTGATGCTACATCAAACATGTTTCAGTTAAGAGAGCGTACGTGACTCGACTCATAGACAGAGTCCAGCCACCACTTTGCATGGAGACCAAGAAAGGCATCATCTGCCATCTTTCTGACCTACTTCGTATAGCAACTCATCCCCTTGTATTTCTGCTGTCTGGTGTGGCTTGCTGTCCCTGCTGTTTTGAATGTGACACTCTGGGGGGACCCTCCAGTGTTGTGAGTCAGGCTCTTGTAAATGTCAAGAAAGGCCCCGGTGTGTCTTCTTTTTGTCCCAAGCCATAGGGTCTCCCTAATTGGGCTGAAAGTCAGTAACAGTTATGTTATATAGTGTTCTGTCCCAGCGTACGTGAGTCCTTGTTAAGCTCACAAGGAGAAGCCCCTCTTCCAACAAGCAGGCTGGAACCACAGGAAAAAACCAATCCCCTTATTATTCTCCACAGATCTGAGTCAATGTCCAAGACAAACAAAACACAGTTCACAGAAACTCCATCCTCAACACGAATAGTTGCCTTCGGCAGCCAGCACCTCCCATACCTTCCCTTTTATTATGCAGCCAAGGCGTGGCTTCCTAATGCCTTCTCCTTTGCCTTTGGAGCCGCCCCATTGCATTCCTCTGTCCTGCTCTCTTTTCTTGCCAGCGTTTTTGTGCATCCTGGATTTGTCCCAGCTGTTCTTCATCACTGTCCAACTCAGACTCCCAGCACAGCTGTGTCTCAGCCTGAGCGCGAGTAGAGGGGCCAGGCTCCTCGTCAGACTGTAAGTCTTGGAGCTCCTTAGAGCCTTCCTCTGACTCTGATGTCACTCCAGGCCCCTCCTCCTCCTCCTCTTCTGATTCCTCAGACTCAGCTGCCGGGTCCACTGGCTGGCGAGGAATCACAACATATAGATTGTCACTCATCTCCATTGCAAGTCACCAGTAGAAACACGGTTTCCAACAGCAGTGGACGCTGGAGCAGAGAGGAAGACCCTTCATGTTATTTGGTCTCCTCTCTGCTTTCTAGCTATCAAGAGCTACCTAATTGCAGGGTAACCTTATCCTCATGATAAGGTGGAGTTTTGTGAGTGACTTGACACAAAGTGATGCCTCTGAAAACCTCCCATGCTTCAGTCCTTTCAGCAAGTTGATACCATATTAGGATGCGGCTCAGTGGGCAGATCTTGCTAAACCATCATGTAGTTGATTGCCGTTGGCTTAGCTCAGACATGTCAAACACAAGGCCCGGGGGCCGGATGCGGCCCGCGAAGTGGTTTCATGTGGCCCACGAAACCATCCTGGAAACAGCAAGGGAACGGCCCCGGCTGCCTTGGCCCTGGCTCAGGCCGGCCGGGAGCCAATGTACAATTTTGTGGTGGCCATCTATGCTGAAACGCATTTAGTCTTAGCTCCACAAGGCCGTCCAGAAACAGCGAGGAACCAGCCCCTGCCACATCGGCCCCGCCTCCTGGGTGCATGCTGGGGAGGTGTCACCCTTTGTGAGGAATGAAGAAATGGACCATGCCTTGGCCCTTGCCCCGGTCCCACCCCCTTCTGCCAGAGACCCTCAGATCTGTCCCACTTCTGCCCAGGCCCCCACAGGCACCCTTGACGCGAATGATGTAGAGCTGGCAATGCCCACCCAGTAGGCCACACCCACTTCATCCACGCCCACCCAGTAGGCCGCACTCACCCTGGCCACACCCACCCGGCCCCCCCAAGGGCAACCGCAATACTGAGACGGCCCTCAATGGAATTGAGTTTGACACCCCTGGCTTAGCTGGATGGGTGAAGCTAGACACCGGGGCTTGTTAAATCAACTGCGGTTAACGCAAGCATGATAGGTGAGTTCAGCTTGTGTGTGTGTGTGCACCTGAGGAACTTGCTTCACTGAAGCTGACATTCTCCCTTGCACTAACGAAGCGGCGATGACCACTTCCAGAGGGGTCTTCTGCCACCCTTATCTTCTTTTTAACCAGACAACGATGAGCGCGCAATAATGCTATGTGTGATTGTCAGGATTTCCCCGCTGCTTTTACAGCCCCTTATTTGATGGGCTCATTGAGCACACGGCCCCCTTTGGAGATGTTTGTGATCTTGCGGATGTCTGTTTGGGAGCTTCTCGGCTTTACTCAACATTGGGGGGGGGACACAGAAGAAAAAGGGAAATTGATGGACTGTAAGAATTGATGCCACCTAATGAGAAGGAAGGACTCAACTGGAGAAGAGCCTAATGCTGGGAAAGATGGAGGGCAAGAGAAGAAGGGGACGACAGAGAATGAGGTGTTTGGATGGAGTCACTGAAGCAGCAGGCGTGAGCTTCAATGGACTCCAGAAGATGGTAGAGGACAGGAAGGCCTGGAGGAACGTTGTCCATGAAGTCACGATAGGTTGAACATGACTTCGCAACTAACAACAACAATGGGAGAATTAGCCAGGGAGGATAGGCTAATGGCTTCCAAGCTTTGTTAAGCAAAGCTGACTACAGTCTGGATGTTGTTCTCCAGTCTGGCCACGTCCTGGTAAACTAGAACTGTAATTCCCAGAAGTTGGCATTTCCGAAGAACGTGATAACTGAAAATGGCAAGTTGGAGTTCCAACATATTTTTAAGAACGACGGGATAGGTGATCCAAGAACAAAGCTATTTATGTTTGTTGTCTCACGCCTGGTTCACTTCTAGCCTGCCAAAAGAGAGCAGTTGAATGTCTACACCTAATCCTGGCCTTAGGAATGTGTGATAAGGATGGAGTTGGGTGGTAGGGTTTGCTGTTCTCTTCACAGTGCTTCCTATAAGATGCATTTGACCTAGGGCAGGGGTAGGCAACCGTGGCTCTTTTAGGACTCGTGGACTTCAACTCCCAGAATTCCTGAGCCAGCCATGCTGAGGAGAAAGAGAGAGATTTCCAAGCTGAGCCATGCCATCTCAGGAATTCTGGAAGTTGAAGTCCACGAGTCATAAAAGAGCCAAGGTTGCCTACCCCTGCCCTAGGGTTCTGCTAATTTCAAGGCGTAGCGTAGTCAAAATTACTGGGAGAAGAAGCCATTGATGGATCTTCCTTGTAGAAGTGCCACAACGAGTTTGTTTTTTCTTTTGCGCCGTTTTAGTGCAGTTGATTACCTTTTACACTTCATAGACAAATCATAGAAGAAAAACTATGTGTTTCCTTTTCTTGCAATGTGTATTTTAGTGACAAAACATTTTAAAGAGCGTTGGAACGTCAAATCCGAGACACTTCGAAACCAACGGAGAAAACCCAAAAGACTAAGCAATTTGCACATTTGCCTTTCATAATACTGAGTGATTTTTGAACACTTTTTAAAACAATATTTGGGGCATTTATTTTCTTATTCCGAAGATGAAATCCAGCTAGCAGAATGAATGGTACGAATGAAGAATGCTTTTCTTCCTGATGTTTAGCAGGGAAAAAAAAAGCAAGCAGTTCTTGAAAATGAAATGACTTCATTTTTCTTACTTGGAAGCGAGAGCTGTACGTCTGTTTTTGATAGGTTTTCTGTTGGAAAAAAACCCCCATTTATATGAAATACGAGATTTGTGAAGAGGCATCTCATGTTTCATAAAAGATTAGTGTATTTGTTTAGTCATTTTACCTTCCTTAAACGACTGCATCCATTCTGAGTAATGTTAATTTCAATTTGTAATGCCGCTCATTTTACTGATTTTTTTAAAAAGCACAGAATGCATACAACTTGACTCAGTATTGAACCTGTCAGTATGTAACTAGGCAGAATTAATCTGTTTTTAGCTAGAAACGGAGCTAAACATCACTGTCGTGATGGTGTCTTACTTCCCCTCCCCCCCAAAGTTATTGAGAGCATGTTAACTATGATTAAAGAGAAACAACAAGAAAAAAGTAATTTACAGAATGGTCTCATTTGATTAAGCTAGTGATTTATTTATTAGGAGCAAAATGTTACAACGGTGTGGGCAACCTTCCAGTTTTGCATAATCCTTCCCAAGGATTCATATATGTCAGGGATGGCGAACCTTTTAGAGACCGAGTGCCCAAACTGCAACCCAAAACCCACTTATGCATCGTCGAGTGCCGGGTGGGTGTGGTCCATTGGGTGGGTGTGGCTGCGGTGGTAAGGGCAGACTGGGTGGGACTAAAAAGTTCAATCAATCAATTCCAACTTTGCAAAATCTTTTTTTTTTCCCGCGAGAAGTTGAAATTGACTGATTAAACTTTTTTTTTTTGGCGCATGGCGGCGGAGGCCTAAAGCGAAAAGGTTTTATTTATTTATTTATTTATTATTTAAATTTATATACCGCCCTATCTCCCTTACGGGACTCAGGGCGGTGAACAGGCAATAATAAAAATCACAATAAATATTAAATAAAAAGCCTGCTCTAAAATACCCCATATAAAAACCTCTACCAAAACACAATCAAAACTACGCCAGGCCGGCCACATGGAATAGATGGGTTTTCAAGGCTCGGCGGAAGAGGCACAGGTCCGCAGTTGTACGTAGGTCAGGGGGTAGGTCATTCCAGAGGGCAGGAGCTGCCACAGAGAAGGCTCTCCCTCTGGGGGTCGCCATCCGGCATTGACTGGCCGACGGCACCCTAAGGAGGCCCTCTCTGTGGGAGCGGACTGGTCGAAGGAGGTATTTGGTAAAACCCAGCTGAAGGCCTAGGACTGGGGCGACGGCGTGCATGCCCACAGAGAGGGCGCTGAGTGCCGCCTTTGGCACGCGTGCCAAAGGTTCACCACCACTGATATATGCGGTTTCATAGCATTCTGTCCGATGAACAGTCCTAGAGAGCTCAAAATCTTAACAGACTCTAATAAAGATGTGTACATTTTTAGTTTTATTTTTTTCTGATGGGTCCACAGTATATTACTGCTTTCTCTTTTGCGTAAACAGCTCTCTTTGATCTGGCATCTCTCTCTCTGCTTTCCTGTTTGCTCAGTTCTCATTAAATCTTGCTTCATTCATTCATTCTAGTGTTATTAGCCTGGCGACCAAGTGCGCCATGCCCAGTTTCCGAATGCATTTGAGAGCACATGGGATGGTTGCGATGGTCTTCAAAACCCTGGATGACTCACAGCACCACCAGGTACGTCTCTGCCTCGTGTCGTTCGCAGTAGTTCAAAACTGTGTTTTCAGCTACCTATTGTTCTAAGGGAAATATTTTTGCATATATTAAAAAGATTAGGAACCGTAAACTAAAAATACCGTTTTATTTCGCTTTTTATCCATTTCTGCTGCTGCTCTCACCCCTCTTAAAATAATCGTGAAGGTGCCGCTTGCGGGGTTTCCTGTGTTTTTAAACACATGACGTAATAATAATGTGTTAAATTGATACGCTGCCCAACTCCTAACAACTCTGGACAATTGAAGAATTGTTTAACACATTTAACCCACAAAAAAAACACCAAACTGAAAGAAATAAATACACAGAGAAAACAAACGCCGGAAAATACGGTATATGCATGAAATTGCCTTTGCTACTGTTGCTAAGCTTAAGGAGAAGTTACCGTATTTTCCGGCGTATAAGACGACTGGGCGTATAAGACGACCCCCAACTTTTCCAGTTAAAATATAGAGTTTGAGCGAGGGGGGGGGGAGAGAAAACTTGATGAATAATAGGCCAAACCACATGTGTAAAGGAATAAAATAGAATACCCGTATTTTCTGGCGTATAAGACGACTGGGCGTATAAGACGACCCCCGACTTTTGAGAAGATTTTCAGGGTTTAGAAAGTCGTCTTATACGCCGGAAAATACGGTACTTATTTCAAGTGAATAGAGCTGTTGTCAATGCTGCTAATATTGAATATTCTTGCTTTGACAAAATATGCAGAACTGTCTGGTACTTTTAGAGTTAATTCCGAGGACAAGGGGAGAGGAGAGAAAAGCGTGCGGAAGGGAACGGAAGTGAATCTTTGCCCTCCAGGTTAATTGGAAAATGTGAATCATGACCCCAAAATAGGGGAGGGGAAATGCCTGGAATGTTATGTGCAAAGGAAGGGAAATTCAGATCTTGGCATTTCTCCATGCCGTGCTGACACTCCGTAACACCAAATAAGGGCTTTTTAGGTTAAAAAAATGCCTGAAAGTTCTTTGAAGTGTTTCATTAATCAGACACATGACAGCTGTATTCTGAATGAAAAATATTTTAAGCGAAATAGAACAATTTCATAGTAAAATTCCCTAAAACCTAGGTTTCGTTTTGAATTGTGAATCCATAACCCTGAATCATTGTTAACCTTATATATGGCTCTTCTAAAAACGTCTTGAAACGAGAAGCCTAACCTCAGTTTCTCCTACTCAAGTGTTTACTCCTTTTTCCTGTTCTTTTTTCTTTTGATGAAGAACTTATCGCTTTGTACAGCAGCTTTAATGTATATCTTGAGCAGAGATCGCTTAAACATGGATCTAGACCGAGCCAGCTTAGATTTAATGATCAGACTTCTGGAGCTTGAGCAGGATTCCTCCTCCAGGTTGTTTAATGAAAAAGACATGAACAAAATCAAGGAAAAAATCCGGAGACTCTGTGAAACTGTTCATAATAAACACCTGGATCTCGAAAATATAACGGTGAGCGCCGGTTTTTACCTTCTTTTTAATCACATGAAAATACAGAGAAATGGACACCAGTAAGATTAGCGAAAATGTTTAAAAATACTTCGAATAATTGCTGGAAATGTAAACAAAGGCCAGGTACTTACTATCATATCTGGTGGACATGCCCTAAAGCAGTGGTTCTCAACCTTTTTAATGCCGCGGCCCCCCAACCGGTCGTAAGTCGAGGACTAAACTGGTCGTAAGTCGAGGACTAAACCGGTTGTAAGTCGAGGACTACCCAACCGGTCGTAAGTCGAGGACTTTCCCTGCCCGGGAGCGCCACGCATGCGTGGTTCCGCCCCCTGCGCCGGCCGAGGCGTAGCTGGCAAGCGGCAGAGACGGAGCAGGCCGACCACCAGCTGGCCCAGCCCAAGGGAGGTAAGGCACCCGCCGG